TAGACCAGGGTGAAGCAACTCCTGTGTGCTAATTAGGTCTCATTGTTGTTTTGCATAGAGTTAGAGATATGATGTTGCCAGAGATGAATTTGTGTAACTGTCAGCATGCTGGTACCTGTAGGATACCTTTCAGTGAACAGATGTTGATGATGTCTCTGTTTTCATGTCTGTGTCACAGTCTCCCTCTACAGGCCAAACCCATGACCACTCCGAAGGTAAGCCTATATTTCAATTGAGATGTATGTGTTTCCCAACCAGGGGTACTTGGCCTATCCACAGGGGGTACTTGAGAAGATTTATGAGACCATAGGCTTACTGGTAAAATGCACACGAGGGGGTACTTCAAGGGTACTCTGGGCAGAGCTAAATGTACTTGGTGGTACAGTAACCGAAAAAGGTTGGGAACCACTGGATTAGGGGATTGGGGTTTTGTAAGGATAGCATTGAATAAAGAGCATTCCTGAGTTAATCCCTCTTTTTTGATAAATTCAGTTTTCATGTTTGCTTAATTATTCTACATGTTTACAGCACTGTAACTGATGAAGGATAAACATTGTATTTGAACTACTATTTGAATAAGACATGGTAGAAACCAAATGTTTTTTTTTTGACAACTTTGATGAGAGAGGATAGGCTTAGACTTCTAAATACCTTATTTGTCTGCAGGTTCCCGCTCAAACTCAGAAGAGAATCTCTTGACACCAGTGAGTTGTTACATTACTCCACAACACCTTGTGACACTTCGACATATCCAAAGTATCATGTCTCATCTAATGTTCATCTATATTATTAACAAATGTATTTTTCTCACTGAACAGTGTAGCTGTGAATACACACAATATATGTGGATTGTTGAATAATGAATAAAACTTTTCAAGTTGTCAAGGAGGCAATGAAACAGGTTTAAATTATGGGCCTGCATCGACACTTTAGTCATTCTCTATTTCACTCTTGTTTGTTCCTGTTGTTTTTACAGACAGTGGACAGTGAGAAGGATGTTAACAGGCTCTCCATATTCCCCTTCCCTCCCTGTATGAACTCCATCAACCGCAGGGTCAACATAGAGTATGTCATACCCATAGAATAAGGAATTAAAATTGTTTACAGTGGCTTGCGAAAGTATTTACCCCCCTTGGCATTTTTCCTATTTTGTTGCCTTACAACCTGGAATTAAAATGAATTTTGGGGGGGTTTGGTATCATTTGATTTACACAACATGCCTACCACTTTGAAGATGCAAAATATGTTTTATTGTGATACAAACAAGAAATAAGACAAAAAAACTGGAACTTGAGCGTGCATAACTATTCACCCCCCAAAGTCAATACTTTGTAGAGCCACCTTTTGCAGCAATTACAGCTGCAAGTCTCTTGGGGTATGTCTCTATAAGCTTGGCACATCTAGCCACTGGGATTTTTGCCCATTCTTCAAGGCAAAAACTGCTCCAGCTCCTTCAAGTTGGATGGGTTCCTCTGGGTGTACAGCCAATCTTTAAGTCATACCACAGATTCTCAATGGATTGAGGTCTGGGCTTTGACTAGGCCATTCAAGACATTAAATGTTTCCCCTTAAACCACTCGAGTGTTGCTTTAGCAGTATGATTAGGGTCAATGTCCCGGCTGAAAGGTGAACCTCCGTCCCAGTCTCAAATCTCTGGAAACTGAAACAGGTTTCCCTCAAGAATTCCCCTGTTATTTAGCGCTATCCATCCATTCCTTCAGTTCTGACCAGTTTCCAGTCCTGCCGATGGAAAAACATCCCCACAGCATGATGCTGCACCACCACCATGCTTCACTGTGGGGGATGGTGTTCTCGGGGTGATGAGAGGTGTTGGGTTTGCGCCAGACATAGGTTTTCCTTGATGGCCAAAAAGCTCAATTTTAGTCTCATTTGACCAGAGTACCTTCTTCCATATGTTTGGGGAGTCTCCCACATGGCTTTTGGCGAACACCAAACGTGTTTGCTTATTTTTTTCTTTAAGCAATGGCTTTTTTTCTGGCCACTCTTCGGTAAAGCCCAGCTCTGTGGAGTGTACGGCTTAAAGTGGTCCTATGGACAGATACTCCAATCTCCGCTGTGGCGCTTTGCAGCTCCTTCAGGGTTATCTTTGGTCTCTTTGTTGCCTCTCTGATTAATGCCCTCCTTGCCTGGTCCGTAAGTTTTGGTGGGTGGCCCTCTCTTGGCAGGTTTGTTGTGGTGCCATATTCTTTCAATTTTTTAATAATGGATTTAATGGTGCTCCGTGGGATGTTCAAAGTTTGGGATATTTTTTTATAACCCAACCCTGATCTGTACTTCTCCACAACTTTGTCCCTGACCTGTTTGGAGAGCTCCTTGGTCTTCATGGTGCCGCTTGCTTGGTGGTGCCCCTTGCTTAGTGGTGTTGCAGACTCTGGGGCCTTTCAGAACAGGTGTATATATACTGAGATCATGGTGGACACTTAATAAGTCCACTGAGTGCATCTACTATTATGTGACTTGAGGTAATGGTTGCACAATCTATTAGGGGTTCATGCAGGTGAACTATGCACACCACTTTCGTTTTAATTTTTCGA